TTATTATTATTATTATTATTATTATTCATCCTTTACAAGGAAGGTTGATACTATCAAAAATTGTATTTGTTTAAAGCTCGAGTAAAACCTGCAATTCATTTACGTCCATAATTAAGCTGTTGAAAAAAAAAATAAATAAATAAATAAAAAATACTGCAGATGCTCGTATGTAAGCTGATGTGTGAACATTCATGCGCGTGCGTAACAACAGCAACAACAAACGGACTGTCTCACTCTTACACCCAACAGTTTTACTTATGACTCACGTTTATCCTTAATCCAGTGTTTTATTTTGCAGATTAGCTTGTTATGTGTAATTATTTTTAATAGCTGTGTTTCCGAAAAACCACTTCGGCAAATAAACATATTTTGTCAGCGCTTCGTGGGAAAAACATTGAGTACATTAATGTGTTGCTAAATTATTCTAATTTTTTGTCATTTCAATATGATTTTTTTTATATAATTCCAGTTTCAAGTATAAGAATTTTCTCTTAAAATCTTTCTCGAAAATGATGATGATCTTTATAAATAAAGAACAAAGATGAATAATATTTCCGTCATAGATGCAAGATGGATTTACGAGTAGCGTAGTGGTAAGTGTGATTAGAGTGCTGCGTTCAAATTTCTGTCAAAGACAAATAGCCATATGAAAGCAAGTATTAAGCAGTAGAGCACATTGGGCTCACTCTTGGCAACCTGCCTGGGAGACAGACAATTTTGAATTTAAAATCAGTTGAACATGAAACTAGCAACTCCATTCTGTACAAACCTATAAGCTACAGAAACCACTGTCTGGTGAAGCTGTGACCCCCGTACTCTCAAAGAGGAGTCAACAGAACTTACATACAATGCATGCACATAAAAAAAAAAACAACGGTTTAGGATTTATTTTATACAAAATAAAAGAGTTTATATACGTATACTTTTATAGTGATTTTCCAAGCGTAGCTTAGAAAGTATGGGACACCCAGTGAGGATTGAACTCACTACTAAGTCGTAACCTTTCTAGCGAGACAAGCTTGCTAACCATTACACCACCTCGAGGTGCACCATTTATATTATTATGTCTATATTCCCATGCGAAATTATAATATTTATATTATTATGTCTATATTCCCATGCGAAATTATTTTTGATTGAAAAGCTATAAAATCCGTTAAACTCACTCTATGATTGTTACTGCTATCATGTGACCCACTACTACTTGCCGCTTGGTCAAGTCACCGGCGACAGAAAAGGTTACCTCACAAAGTGTTTCTGAAGAGAAGGGTGAATATATATACCAAGCAGGATTAAAAACAAGACCTGTAAAATGGTGGATGAACCTTCTTATAGGTTTAACGGCTATCTAACACAATGGGTAAGGACACAGCATCGTGTAGGCGGAAGGCTTCCAAGACTGAAGTCAATGATGAGGGCGGAAGTTTATCCCCGATGGAATCAACGACTACGTGTCCTTGAGCAAGGAGAGCCTTCAAGTTAGAGGACATCGGTTGTGGTTTGACCTGGAGAAGGACGGGTTCCGCCAGGTCTGTTGCAAAAGACACGCTATGTATGTGGAATTAATTGGTCAGGTGCTCAGCGACATACGAACGCACCCATTCATGTGATTGATAGTGAATCAATTAATAAAATGTTAATCTGATTCATATTTGCAAAAGATAATTTGTAATGTGGCCATTAAGTGTGCTGTATTAGTATTCCAAGTGAGAATGGCGAATCGTTTACACTGGAAATATATATTAAAAAAAAGGTTTTTATTTCTATTCGAACCCTTACTCCAAACATCGGAGGTAATATTCCTTAATTCCTTAATTATTGTTGATTCAAAAGCAATAAAATTCCTTAATATCATTTTTGCATGTGAACCTTTCGAAGAAAGACGAACTTGTTTCCCCTGCTTTTTAAAATCCCAATACAAGTAAAAAATAAAAATAAAAAAAAATAGCCACAAGGAACGTGTTTGTTTTTTTTTCAAAATTTGAGAACTTATTAACCTGATTAATTAGTATCATCTATTCATTAATTGTTTGCTATAACACATCTCCGGGATTAGTGGATATAAAACGCATGGAATGCAAAAGTTTAAACAAACATGGATATTTCAAAGTAAAATCGTTTTGTCTATACAATCTTAACGCTACCGCCACATTTATGACTAGGAAAAGCAATGTCTTAATAATAAAAAGAAACTCTTTTATTTAGGTTTTATCTGAAGGTAGCAAAAATATAAGGAATATCTCAGAATAAAATATTAAAAGAAATTGCTCATAATAAACAAATTATTAAAAGAAATAATTCAGAATACACAGATTATTAAAGCGAACAGATAAAAATAAACAAAGTATTAAAACAAATAGTTAAAAATAAACAAGTTATTTAAAAAATAGCTCAGAATAAACAAATTATTTTAACATAAAAATATTTCAGCAATAAAAAATGCACTTTTTTGATAGTAGAATAATACAAAGTGAAAAATATACCTGGGCACTTTGACGTGGTGTAATGGTTAGCAAACTAGTCTCATTTGATCAGTTATGACTGAACAGTGAGGTCACTCCTCACTGGGTGCCCGATACCTGCGCCGTTGTACCACATCAAAGGCATCCTTAGTAAATCACTAAAAATAAACATTTTGATTTAATTTTCGATTTAAGTTCGTAACCGGGGTAGCAAAGAGGAAAGATCATCAGAACAATTGCCATGAAAATATTTATAGAAAATGTAAATGTAAGCTATGTTACGGCGGAAAATGTTATGGGAATCTGTGTTACGGCGGAAAATGTAAAGGGAATGTATGTTACGGCGGAAAATGTTAAGGGAATGTATGTTACGGCGGAAAATGTAAAGGGAATCTATGTTACGGCGGAAAATGTTAAGGGAATGTATGTTACGGCGGAAAATGTAAAGGGAATCTATGTTACGGCGGAAAATGTAAAGGGAAGTGATGTTACGGCGAGAATTCTAAATGGAAGCTATGTTACGGTGGTAAATGTAAAGGAAATCGATGTTACGCCGGAAAATGTAAAGGGAAGTGATGTTACGACGGAAAATGTAAAAAGATATGTTACGGCAGAAAATGTAAAGGAAAACTACGTTACGGCGGAAAATGCAAAGGGAAGCGATGTTACTGCGGAAAATGTAAATAGAAGCTATGTTACGGCGGAAAATGTAAAGGAAATCGATGTTACGGCGGAAAATTGCAAAGCGAAGTGCTGTTACGGCGGAAGATGTAAAGGGACGCTATGTTTCGGTCGTAAATGTAAAGGAAATCGATGTTACGGTGGAAAATGTAAAGAGAAGCTATGTTATGTCGGAAAATGCAAGAGGAAGCGATATTACAAAATTGACTGAAGTCGAAATGCTAAGTCAGAACAAATAATTTTTTGGGATGATTTTTGCAATAATCTGTAGATACATAGGAGAAACATCAAAGCAGATGTGGCAACAATATTCTATACACTGACAAATGATAGACTTAAAATGAGCAAGACAGATTCCGTGAGAACAACTTTCTTAAGAGTAGACTTCGCAATTGACTTGATATAATCATTCCAATTCATAACAATAGAAAAATGTTAAACAGATAAGTCGTATTGAGTAAATGTCATAGAAGTTAGCATCAATCATGCTGATGGAAGGCAAACAAGGTGCTCTCTAAGACAATGAAAAGATTGTTGCTTATTTTGGTGGCATTCATATTAACAAGACATTTCTTGCCCCAGTTAACAACAGATTAGAGGTCATTTTTTAAATCAGCCACCAATTTGACTTTATCTAAACTATTAGACTTAAGATAGGAGTAAATAGTTAAGCCATCGTCATAGATATCGAGTCGAGAACCGATGGCATCGAGAAGGTAATCGATAAAAATTAAGAACAAATTAGGTCCAAAGATTAAACACTACTAGAGGGTACCCGCATTTATATAGAAAGATCTAGAAGTGAGGCGGTTTAAGAAAAATTCATTGCAATATTTAATAAGAAATATTTAATCAAATAAAAAATCCACCAGAGACATTATAACCCTTCAACTTGTGAAGAAAACCAGCTTACCAGACCTTGTCAAACGCCTTCGATATATCTAAGACAACATCCTGAGCTTCAAAATTCGCATCTAAATCTTGACAGACTCTTTCATCGGTAGTTACAGACAGCCTTTTCTTTACGGTGACTCGTAATTCACAAAAATATCACGACTAAAGCCAGAAACTTGTTGAAGTCACTTAACAGAAGTAAAGCTACTTGACTGATCATAAAAAAAAAATCACTTGAAAATATTTTGTGGGTTGTTCAAACATATCTAACGGAAGGTTTGGGAGATTTGAACACCACTATGAAGTTTATTATTTTGTTCAAGAGATTGCTTTCATCTTAACGAGAGAAATCAAATAACTCGAAGCTTCATATGAAATAAATCAAAGGAACACCGACATTTTTTCTTTATTTAAAAGCAGTGAAATATCTTAAAGGTTAAGCCAGAGATGTGTTGCTTTAAGTTTTATGTATTGCTTGACTTTTTTTTCCGTATTGCTTTTTTAGGTTCAAATTAATAACAAATCTAGAATCATGGCCGCCGTGATGGAGAAATAGGATTCTTTATTACAGTTGATATTTTGTTTAGAACAGCAGAAGGTTAAGTATGCGTTAGGAAGTGGGGGTGCATTACACTTTTAAATCCGAGTCTATTTGCCTTGGAAATCAGCATTCGAAATCCTCGGTTTGAACGCTGGCACCGACTGGAAGTAATTAGTTCAGACATGAGACAGGCCAGTGTATACTACTCACGGTCTTGATGTGTGTGCGTGTGTGTGTATTTATTTTAGAAGGCCCATGCCCAGAGCTTCTCTGTTGCTCTATTCTTTTACTACAGCAAGTTTTCTAACATATAGAACGATAACCATCATTCCATCCCGTTAATTCCTTTTATTGCGACAAATGGACTTTTTTCTTTTTTCATGGCGGTGGTGGTTTATGGTGCTGTTGATCGCTGCCAGAAAATGATCTTGCCCATTTGGAGAGAGAGAAAAAGAAAAAGAAAAGAAGTACAAACTCTGAAAGAAGTACTAGTTATTCTTTTACTCTGCCATCAATATCTCTCTCCCGCCTTCTTACTACAATGGATATATGCGGTAGGTGTAATGGATAGCGACTCGGAATTAAACATCGGAGAGCCAAGTTCGAATTCTAGTCAGCTTCGTTACATCCAGTTACGCCCAAATACCCCTGGGAAAGGTATGAATTAATCACATCCTCCTGTCTATGTGCGAAATAGTAGTATTTAAACTAGAAATATTATTATTCTCAAAAACGTTTTTAATGTAATATTTACTCGCAAAAAAAAAGAATTATTCTTGCAATCTAAAATATGACTTAAGATCAAATATGAATCAGAACCAGACAGAATGATAATATTAAGAAAAATAGGAAACGTTTATCACTCTAAATTGTTTTATTTTATTAAATTATTTTATCAAATTCTCTGATGAAGCTTTAATAAAAATCAAAAGTATGTTTCAGATTTAAATAACCGACAAAGGGTTGATAAACCATAACAATCAATCTGTGCAGAACAGTATTGTTATAGTTATTTACTGGGCTTCGTTTACTCTGTTATAACGACATAATTATAGATCACTAGGAGAGAACTTACCAGTTTGACTAGAAAATTAGCTTTGCTAGGTAAGCTTATTAATCATTTTCTTACGGCAAGTACGCACATTGCTACTGTTATAAAGTCATTTGTCTATTAATGAATGTGTCATAATGTTATGAATAAAGGTTAATTTAAAATAATTAACTGATTCTTAGTTCAGTAAGTAAATTTAATAGCTATTTGTTTAGTTAGAATATCAAGACAATAAAAAGTGGTTTTGATTTGAGTTTGGGTGGGGCATGATTTGATTAAAATCGATAACCCACTTTTGTCTCAGGTTCTTTTTTTTTCTTTTTCTCTCTTACTCATATTCTGTTTGCTTCGTCTTTTTTCCCCTTCCCCACTGAATTGCTCTCTTTTCTCTTGTATGACTCACTGCTCATCTCCCATTCCAGTCTTAGAATCAGCAACAACAACAACAACAACAACAACAGCAACACCAATAATAAACGGAAACCACACTCTCCATTACTAACTGTTGTTTTCGCTTTTGTTGTTCTAATTTTGGTCAATATTCAAAAGTGGCAATATTGCGAAAAGGCTTTCTTTAAATCTTTTCACTTGAATATTTTTAAGTGGCTTAACAGAAATTCTTACTCTGTGGTTTTATTTTATTTTTATTTTAACTTAAAACAAAGAAAAAACCGTTTGATCTTGTTTAAAAATTTCCTTTTTTTTCCTAAAGGAATTTATATTTGATGATTCACTTTTCAGTCTTCAGGTTATTGAATGAATTCATTTCGACCCCAAAATGCATTTCGTTAGAAGATGATTTAAACAATTGTTGTTCATAGCAATAATATCGTTTCTTGTCGAAGGATTAATATAATATAACATAATATAATATATTAAAATATAATATACAATACAATAATAAATTGATCATTTTTTAAATTTGAGTTTTTCATACAAATATTTGTCGTATCATTTTTATATTATTATTATTATTATTATTCCTCCTTTTGATTTTTATTGTATACTCATTGCTTTTCGCGTCCCAGCCAGACCCAAGGTTAGAAATGGCATCGTGACATTTTCCACTGAGCATTTTTGTAAAAAAAAACTAAATAAATAAAAATAAAAAATAAATAGGTTGTTGATCACACACATTTTACACAAAGCCCTTCATGAGATGCGGGCTGTAATTGTGAGAACTTTATTTTTTCTTTACAGCATGGGTTGTCAGGGATCCCTTCTAATCAAATTGAGGGCTCCAACTGCAACTGAAAATATTGATGTCCTCATGTGTTACACTTTTGAGATTTCCACTTGAAGTTCTTTGTATTCTGATAGTTTTTTTAAAGATATTTAAATATTCATTACAGTCTTCTGGAATTACTATGTCAATAAGAAAGCACTTTCTGTTTGTGTGGTCTTTGATTGTCCTATTTTTATGTATTGCAAAGTTCCATATTATTATTATTATTATTGTTGTTGTTGTTGCTGCTGCTGCTGCTGCTGTTGATTGAGTGAGTGAAAGAGGGAGAGAGAAGCACAGCATCAAACTGATGACAGAGTACAAATATACGAAGCTCAATATACCCCTCAATATACCCCTCATGAAACTATGTTTAATAATGCATGCTAGATATATGCATCACAGCCAAACATGTGCGCGATATGGTGACAGCTTTTGATAAAAAAAAACATCGCATAACCTGGCAGGTGTGCCCCAGTTAGAAATACCATTCCGTTCAGAGGGTCAGCGATTGAGGATGTACCCAAGTATCTACATACTGTTTTAACTGAGATCTGTCTGCATGATGGGTTCCAAGAATGCTGACACCAGAGAAGAAGCTGGAAATAGTTGGCATGTTCAGGACACTTCTGACTCGCTTCCAGGCTAACCCTGAGAATTCCCATTGCAGATTAGTAACTCAAGATCAAACCTGGGTTCAATACTTCGAACCTGAATCAAAGATTCAAAGCAAACAGTGGAAATATCCTGTTTCTCCACTTGCGATTTAGTTCAATCCGGCAGCGTCTTTTGGCATGGTGATGTTCTTCCGTTTGGGGCAATTTTGAAGAAGTAATCATGATAGACTCCACAGAAAAGGGGGAAAAAACTATTAATGGGCAGTACTATGCATCAGAAACGCCAGAGGGAAGCTAATGAGAGCAGTGCTATTGCTCCAGGATAACGCGCCCGTTCACACTACTCAGGTTGTAGTAGCTTAATCAGGCAAATGTGGCTTTGAATTGCTACCACATCTCCCTTAGTCACAAAACTTAGCTCCATCTGACTTTTCCTGTTTTTTTAAACTCAAATCCAACCTGCACCTTCCGTAATGGGATTGCAATGCTTAAGCGTCATTGAAGCAAGTGCATTGATGTCAAGAAGGACTATATTGAAAAATGGTGAAAAACTGTCTTGTTTATCCAGCTTCTTTTAGGTAAGGCTTAGAACTTTTTGAACGACCATCGTAATTCACCGAATCGCACCGCGTACATTATTATTATTATTATTATTATTATTATTATTATTATTATTATTATAGTTGTTGTTGTTGCTGTTGTTGTTGCTGTTGTTGTTTTATTGTTTTAGTTGTCGTTTACCACAGATTTCAAATGGTTACCTTTTGGGTAAAACGGCGACAAATATGATATCACTACCATTTTCCACGCTCTTGTCATCTTAAACAGTGTCATGGTTTAAATAATTTCGATTCCTCATTGGATCTGTAATTACATAAGTCTTTCTGCAAGAGCCTTTAGCGCCATTTCAATTACTCTGACTGTTATGACACTTTTTGATGTGCCGCAGTTTCTTTAGTTCGCGGTCAATGTTCAATTTTCCCACTTATTTCCATTTTCTCTAATTTCTTCCTGTCATTCCCTGTGACAGTTGGCGAATCTATTATGCTCATGATTTGCACTCATTGATATTTCTCACCAGTACTAATTAGTTGTTATTATTATTATTATTATTATTATTATTATTATTATTATCATTATCTTCTCTTCTTCCATACAGATTTTCTGTTTCAACCGGAGCTGCATTATGGATATTCTGCCTCAAGCCGTACGACCTCAAGCAGATAGCACCTCTCTCAGAATATATGCAGAACCAAGCAACGCAGACTTCTGAAGCGACTGGGTACTAGGCTTAATTCCGATAGTATTCATCTCGGTCTAAGTTAGGCTGTATGAATCCCTACGCCATATTGACAAGCTAAATCCGGAGGTCAATGTCTTTCTTAAACTTGTCAATTTCTTTGATCAAGATATGATGGACATCAGGAAAGTTCGCATCGGGTAGTTTTTCGTCCTTTTTTTTTCATATGGAAATCTTGCCTTATTGGAGTTCTCCAAGTCGTACGACCTCAAACGGATAGCACCTTTCTCAGAATATTTGCACAACGCAGATTTCTGAAGCGACGGGGTACTAGGCATTATTCCGATTTTCTTCATTTAGGTCTTTCGATTCGGCGGTATCGACCCCAACGCCCTAATGATAACAGGGATAATAGTGGCCTCAATCTGGAAGTCAGTGTAAGCATTTCAGTTTCTTTGATCTTGATATTATGGTCACCATCGACGAGGGGGCATTTTCCTTTTTCTTTTTTTTTTCTGTAAACGACGGTGATGTCTGGCTTAATAATCGCAATGATGCAGTCTGTTTGGATGTTGAAATCCCTTTATTTGGTCATTTTCGATCACCTTCTCTGGATTGTCGCAGTACCATATTCTGATTATTATTATTATTATTATTATTATTATTATTATTATTATTATTACTTCCTGATAGAATAGATGTTTCGGCCGGGTGAGGACGATCATATCTCAGCTCCGACCCGCAGCTTAGAGGCATGATACATTCCTTAACACATGAGCTATTCAAAGCAGCGCTGCCACTTGTTTATTCTTTATGGTGTTCGGTATCCCCAATGTGTATTGCGAGGCAGAGAGATCCTTAGAGATAGTCTCAAGAGTGTTAACCACAAACGGGACATCTAGAGCTGATGCTTCGTACATTTCTCCAAAGTTGCCCAGAAAGATATTCGTACCTCTGTATTTTTTACTACTCCTCAATCACGATGTTCTTATCCCAATGTACCGCAAGATCTGTCAGGATCCATTCATGACTGCTCATGCACAAGTGTGATATCAGGGCGATTGCTCTTCAAGGCGGTCGTATCCCATATGCATTTCACATGCACATTCTCAGCTACTAACGGTGGTGAATGCGTCTATGTCCATTGTTGTTGTTGTTATTATTATTATTTACTGAGTTTTCGTACCTGGCGAAAATATTAGTTTTCAACGGGGAACAAACGATAACTACTTTCCTCAATACAAGCACTCTCCTCGGTATTGTAGTCAATTTTCGTCATGGTTAGGATTCGTTCTATTCTTTCTTTGATTTCCAGATCTTAATTTGCTGGCAAGTTTACACGTATAATTACAGAATTGGCCATGGAAGAATGTTTTGCACCAAGCCTCAAATATGGGGAAAGGCTCTATGTATTGGTAACTGTTTTCTTGGGATCCGACCATATTGAAGTTAAAATCGCTGAAAAAATTATCAAATAGCCTTACATTCATTTTCTGGGCTAGGGAAAATAATTTTCATAATGTCTACTTTTTCACTACAAACAAGGGCTAATTTACACTTAAAGTGTGGAAAATGGATTATTTTTTTACTTTTTTCTTTTTCGTGTGGACTTGTTTCTTCATTTCCTTCATTTATTAATTGAAAATTTATTTCATAAACTGTTTCCCTTCGTTTCCTCTTTTCTTTCATTCTTTCCTTCCTTAGTTTCCCTTTTCTGTCAATAACTTGTTTTTATTCTTTTTCTTTTTTAGCTTTTTGATTCTAACTGTTCTTTCTTTCTTTTTTTTGCCTTTTCCATCACTTCTCATTCTTTCTTTCCTTTTTTTCTCAATTCTTTCTTTTTTCTTCCCTCCTTTTTTTCTTTCTTTACCCCTTCTATTTTTCAATAGTTACTTATATATATTCTTTCCAACTTCTCTTCTAAAATGTTACATTATTTACATCTTTCTCTCTCTCTCTCTCTCTCTTGTTAATCATAACGAGCCGCCCAAAAGGTTCCAATCTTCCAAAGCAAATCCAATCGTTCAGACTAAGCAACACAAAACCTTTTCTTACTCACACCCTCTTCTCTTCACCATCCTTTCCAGCGATATATCATTTTTGATTGAATTAAACAATTCTGAGAAGCAAAAGTGAAAACGTCAAACAACGACATGCATTTCACTACTAATGTTGGACTATTGATAAAGATACACCTCTCTGCTTGAGTGTATGTATGTAGGTGTATATAAAATATTTTAATCAATATATTGCTTACAATATTTATAGAAGAAGAGGGCTCGGTATCAGAGAGAGAACGTTTCTAGATATAATACAGTCATGGGAGTCAATACGCATCACTGGGATTTTCAGACGAAGACAGTCACCATGCGATAATGATTCCTATTTCTATCTTTCTATCTATCTATCTATCTATCTATCTATCTATCTATCTATCTATCTATCTATCTATGTCAATCAGTTCATATCTATCTATCTATTTATCCCTCTCTCTCCATATATATATATATATGTGTGTGTGTGTGTGTGCGTGCTAATATATAGAAAAATAGGAAAGAACACATTAGATTAATAATCCGAGGTTCTTTAGTATTTTAATTTTAAAATATTATATATATATATATATATATATATATATATATATATATATATATATATATATGTGTGTGTGTGTGTGTGTGTGTATGTGTGTGTGTGTGTCTGTTTCATGTTTGGCGATTGCGTATACGCATGAAACATCCTGTTGTCTTTGGTTGTTGGCATCAATGTCCATTTTTGTATTTGCCTACACTCTATCCCAGATATTGAGCACTTTAACTGATAAATATATATATATATATATATATATATATATATATATATAGCATATCTTAAAAATTATATTTTATCATATAGAGTCACACTGATGAGCTGTGATACTGCGAAACAGTCTGTCTGTGAATGAAAATATATATGCTCCTGAAAAATTATTTCGGTAAAGCTCTCGAGAAAGAAAGTGTGAGTTTGTAAATAGTGACTACTACTGCTACTAATACAATACTCTTCGATGAAACGAATTGAGTTCTCTCAGTCACTGGCAAGCTTGTCTAAAAATAAATACGCTTAAATTCCCCTTAATCCCTGTCGTGCGCCAACGGCTTAGAGGTAAATTTTCCGACTGACGCCAATTTAACTTGGTTTTGATCCTAGCTAGAGGCAACCGGACGTCTAGCTACACTGATGAGCTGTGATACAGCGAAATAGTCTGTCTGCCGATGACAATATATATATATATATATATATATATATATATATATATATATATATATATATATATATTGTGTGTAAACGTTATTTTAGTAAGTACGAGTGTGTGATTTGACGTCACTGTTATTTTAAACAGTGAATGAATGTCAACAGGCGTTGTGACCAAGAAATCCTACTAAATAGTATTTCGCTTTCCAACAGGAATCGAGTATTTATAGAACGGTAAATTAACTGTGAAACATGGAAACTTAAAGAAGACAAACAAACTTTGAAAACTGGGAATCGGTTGATCTTCATTCAAAACATCGATTACGATGAATGTTTTGTCAGTCAAGAGTTTCGAGGAACCGAATTTATCATTTAGTACAATACAAGATCCGAAGAGGAGAAACCAAAACAAAGTGAAGAGAAAATTTCGCTAACCTTCCTGGTGAACTGAGACTATCTGCTTTCAAAAGCAGCATTTCTTTAATTATATTTTTTTAACTGGACTCGAACCATTAACCACTAGTACCAACACTCAACCGTCTCAATTTAGAGATACAATTTAATATACTTTTGTGAGTAAAAGTTGGGTCATGAAGTGGTAATATATTAGTTTAATACTTTCCTTTCTTACTTCCGTTCAGCTTCCTCCCATTTCCGTTTTTTTTAATTTTTTCCTTGATCTTCTTCCAAGTTTATTCTCTTGTTTCCGTTTGCTGATTTTTTTTTTATCACTCACATTTGCAGCCTACCAGTCCACACATGCTCACTTTTCCTTAAATTAAAAAATTTCTCTTTGTTTTTGCTCCGTTTCGTCCACATTTTCACTAGCCAGACGCGAATGTGACGTGTTTTTCTTGTCCTTGTTTAATCTACATTTCCAAATATTTGCCTACGCTTAATTGTAACTAAAACAACCGAATCTATTGTCTTAGACATTATTGTTGTCAAGGAAAGTAAAGAAATAACTACCAGATAAACGGCCAGTCCCTCATCTTTACGATAAAGACAGCGTACGTTCAATTTTTAATCATCCACCATTGGTTTAAAAATAGGATCGCATTAAAGGATGTCATTGGACCACGTCGCGGTACTAGCCAGATGTCATTAGACCACAACGAGAAATTGGCTATAGAAAGCCAATTTGATGTACCACTGAATTCGATTTTTACTGGCTGCCGACTAGGCTAGTCTTGTGACAGATTGGACTAAATGACTATTTAATGAATGCGTTCTAAATCTAATCTATATTTTTTAAGGATTCCATAAGAAAGGGATTCATAGTCAATGGCTTCCAAGATAAAGTCCATAGATTTATACAAAAAAGGTAATCTTAGATAACAGATAAATAATAAAATCCTTCCTGAAGAACTAGAGAAACCTCTTTAGAACGGAGATTACCATGCCAACAAGAGACTTGTTTCGTTTTTGCAGTGGACTTGAAATTATTGTAGTCTACTATCATGTAAACAAGGGGAGCGCAATTGTTATAAGATTTTTCCAATTTCCATTAAAACACCCCGACATTTAAGTTTACATCGGCTGATATATTCAAGGGGTTACCCATCTTGATATTGACCCGGTTCAACGTTGCTTAACTTCGGTAATTGTGAGAGAACCGGTGTTTCAACGCGATATGGTCGTAAGTCCATTGAAGCACGGAGGCTAGAATTGCCATTTCTTTTTTTGTGCACTTTCCATACAAGATGTCGGTGATCATGACTCTTTACAGCTTCCTATTCTTCGTAACTGTAAACAATATTTTCCATTCCACTCAGTCAGTCTCCGATTAAAAATGTGTCTCCCAAGTCACTATGGCGTCCTTGTCCTTGGAACGCAAAACAAGACCATCACTCGCGATACTCGACCTCGCTGCTTCCAATCTATGCGCGCTCATGAACAAAGATGCACAGTGTGTCAGACTCTAGGAGATATGCCCAACTTTATTATTATTATTATTATTATTTAAATATAGAGAGAAAAAGCAGAAAATGTATGTAATGATGATGATGATGTTTTAGAAATACACTTTGTTATTATTATTATTATTATTGCTTCTTTCAATTAATCTTTATGCTTCAAGAAAGTTATTAATCTTTAATCTTATTAAAATAAAGCAAAGGAAAAATAATGTTCCCTTTGAAAGTATTGAATTAAAGACATCTGTGTCTTTGATATTAATCAGACTTAAATGCTGTAATGGCATAACTGTTGAATAATTCGACGTCTTGGTCATATTAAAATGAAGTTGCAAAGGACGAAGAGAGAAGAAAACATGAAAAAGAGAGAAAGAAACCAAAGAAAAGAAAAAGACCTGAAAAGGTTCATCGAGATATCATAGAATTGTGTAATGGTTGAAACGCACCCACACACGCATATATGTATGTGTATATATATATATATGTGTGTGTGTGTGTGTGTGTGTGTGTGTGTGTGTGTGTGTGTGTGTGTGTGTGTGTGTGCATTAAGGCAGCAAATTCTCTTTTAGGCCTGGACTGATTGAATAAATTACAAACAGTATGTCTGCTTATTTTTATCATAATCTTTTCGTATTCACGAATATTTTTCGTATGTTACAATCAAACGAGGCAAGAAATGCACCGTAACAGTGAAAATCACATTTATTTCCAAAGTACTTTCCATCTCTTTCTGAATTCATCATTAGGTGTGCAACTGGTAAGGCAAAAACTATGTGTAGCTATGCATTACTGACTTTTTTTTGCGTTTAAATGCTACGGCTGACAGTTATGCTTTAGCCTTCATTAGAACGTGAAAAGTTATCCATTATGGAATTTTTTCTTTTATGTTGGAATGTTATGGCCGAGCGCGCATTAAAACGTAAAAATTGTTCGTTTTATAGGCATTTTAGAACTTTATTATAGTATTCGTAGCTGATGCTATATATATATATATATATATATATATATATATATATATATATATATTTAGTTTATGCAAATTTAGGTAATCCGTATGGGTAGACCTGAGGAGGATGATATCCAGAGAGCTCAATGTAAAATTCAGAGCAGATATATTTGAATAAAAGACAGACAACGTTAAGATTCCATGTAATAAGCTATTTCACCATAACCCCTTTAACAGGGTTCTGGATCATCAGACTTTACTTCCAAAAGCTGAAATGAAAAATGAAAAGAAATTCACACGTTTTTTACGGACCTCATCAAGTATACGCAAAGGTAACGAAGTGAGGAAGTGAGGTGGGAGAGAGGATATGAGTGTGTCATATGTATCATTTTAGTTTCCTATTTTAACCCCAGTGTGTCGGCTGGATGTTGCTCAAATTTAACGCGTCTCGTCTCTAGATAAAGGTGGTTAAGGGGTGAGCGATAAGAACTACATTAAGGAAGACGATCCAGACATACTACTAAACAGACACAATGAACTAGTTTTTAAATGCCGGCACAAAAACAACCTAAACCTAAGCAAGTACACTAAGAAATAATCATATAGGAACAGCAATTTTGAATGTTTTATATTCCCTTTGTTTTTAGAAAGATCACTATGCACACGTGAACGCTAACACATGACTGTATGTATACAAATATGATAATGTATTTGCACACTGAGACACCTGTTGATATGTACATGTATATGTTTTTATACGGAAAAAGAAGCATACCAGTTTTTTTTTTAATTTTTTTTTTTTTTTGTGAGTGTGGAGATGTACAATTAGATAGGTACTTATATGTTTTGCCATAAATATGAAAGATCGGGTAATATTATATGTGTAAAGACATAGATAATGTAATTAAATACTGAGATAGTCTTCGAACGCAGGCATAAGTGGATGCACGGGTGGACATGAGGATAGGGACAAATACGTGGGTAGATATATGTAAGTGCAAATTAACGCATATGTGGGTATGTATATATTCTGCAGATTGCGTATGCATATGTGTGTGTATGTATATGTATGTATGTACGTATGCATATATGGGTGTGTGTATGTATGTGTATATGTGTATACGTATGGATGTGTAGATATATATATGTGCGTATGAGTATATATGGATATGCAGATGTCCTTGTGTGTATATGTATATATGTAAGTACATGGAGATAGGTATGGAGACATGTGGACGTGCGTTTTCTCTGCAGGTGTATATGTGTAAAGATGGAAATATACACATATCGTTTCGTGTGAATGTGTGTATAGATGTATATAGGAACTCATAGGCATATAAGACTATATAGGTATGCGGTTACAAATAGGGGTGTAAGACATGTGTACATAAGAAAATGTAAAAGAAGGGCCTAATTTTCTGCTAGTGACATCTCTTCCAAATTTCTCCTCTAATATTCTCCAATTGGACGTGAATTTTAAATAGCACGAAGTGAAAGTTTTAGATTAGTATTTTAATTGAGATTGAAAGATACTACCCCAATGTGGAAAATAAAATTATTTAAATGGGAATAACTGTTGATAATTGGATACATAAAAACAACCACGAGTTTACTTAATAAACAAAAATCAAAAACAACCACGAGTTTACTTAATGAACAAAAATCAAACGAATAAATGTCAACCTAACAAGCTATAAGATAAAAGTTTTAGTGGAAAAAGTACTAAATATAAATTGGATTACTCTTTCAATGTTCTGTCTATGGATTTTTCCAATCGACTGCTTCATAGAAAATACCCAAAACTCCACCGAATTTCAAATTAATTTCTTCGTAGATTGTTTTAAAATTTAGATATTTATCAAACCTTAACCTTCCAAATATGCACGTTAAAGTAACGCGAACTGACAGCGTCTAAGAATTTGAATGAAACCTGTCGTGTAATTTATTGGGGTTGTTGGAACGTCTTCCTTAATGTAGTTCTTATCGCTCACCCCTTAACCACCTTTATCTAGAGACGAGACGCGTTAAATTTGAGCAACATCCAGCCGACACACTGGGGTTAAAATAGGAAACTAAAATGATACATATGACACACTCATATCCTCTCTCCCACCTCACTTCTTCACTTCGTTAACTTTGCGTATACTTGATGAGGTCCGTAAAAACGTGTGAATTTCTTTTTCATTTTTCATTTCAGCTTTTGGAAGTAAAGTCTGATGATCCAGAACCCTGTTAAAGGGTTATGGTGAAATAGCTTATTACATGGAATCTTAACGTGGTCTGTCTTTTATTCAAACAATATATATATATATATATATATATATATATATATATATATATATATATATATATATATATAGTCATACTAAAACAAAAAGCATATCAATATATGTCCGCAAATCATTCGTTTTTAGTTATTTAGTTTAAAGAAAGTTTATGGTAGATGGCGCTTTTGTTGCATGTAGACTAGGTTACATTCGTGTACGTTTATGGCTAGTCTCTCTTCAATGTTTAACGTGAGTAGTAATGAGTTAACTGAGACTTTTTCCGTTTAACAATGGTAGGATATAATTATCGTAGCAGGCAGATATGATTTTACATACGGCCCCGCAAATGGTAATGGGCTCGAGGCTGCACGGCTGTATCTGTTTGCGTTTCTAGACAGAAGGCAGTCGAGTCATCCAAACTTGGCTGCTGTTTATTGTCGCGTTGCTGAGACAGGATCTGTGGCATCATAAACTATGGATAGTGAAAGACCGAGATACGCTCGTACGCCTGACCCACGAAGAATACATTCCACAGGCTGTCAGAGACGATCCAGGTATAAGGACCCGTTGAGTGAAGCTAGCATGTTGTACATCTCATATTACCGCACGGAGGGTACTTCAAGAGCAGCTTCTGTATCCGTATAATTTGTAAC